AGACATGGGTTACCCTAATTTAAGGTAGGAGCGGAGCAGAAGAGGGAAAAAGATGGGAGTTTTGGATGTCATCATACGCCGCTGGGCTAGCTCTGATAGCGACCGTATAGCGAGAGTTCGGTCAAGAAGGCGATGGCTTTGAGTAAAACCGGAAGAGGGGAGGTGATGCAGGGGCTGGAAGCGCCTGATGTGTGTGTTTCGTTTCCGCGAGACGGAGGCCTGCGAACCCGTGAAACAGTTGGATAGCGATACACGAAGCGGGAGAACCGTGCGAGAGAGAACAATCGCGAACCAGCATGGCACCAACAGTGGAATTTTGAATTTTTTGGATTCTTCTAGCCTTCCCACTCTCTCATTTTGTGTAGAAATTTCTTTTGAGCCTATAAATTGCCATCCTAGATGTGTGTATGAGTCAATTCAGATTGTGTTGTCTTTGATTCTCCTGTGTGGAGTTCATTTTCCCCGTTGTGAGTTATATCCGAGAAAATGGTGGTGCTCCGGCTGTATCCTTCTCTAAGGTGGTGATTGTATCATTCCTTTTTACCTTCCTCAAACATTCTCCTCACCAGTTCTCAGTCGTTGAACTCACCCTCTATCACCCCAACACCCTATTAGTCATTTTCCTATGGATTATTCTGCTAACCAGCTTTCCAGGCTCCGTTCAAACTAGCCCAACCACCACACTAACGTTGTCGACTACCTACAATCCTTCCTACTTGCTGCCCCTATAGTTCCGCACCTTCCCCTCGCTGCCACCAGCACTTTGCGGCTGACACTACCCCCGTTAGTCATCCCAACCCACCTCGCCGATCTTCACCACCCATTGGAATACATTTAAAAATGTTTGCTTGTGTCGTTTGTGTTTGTGTTGTTATTTTCGTTTGAGTCATATTTCAATCCTATTTTAATATTAACGAAAATCTATTTTTGTGTTTTCCACAGTTTTCCCTACCAGTTCCGGCATCATGAGGGGGAAAGGGGATGTAGGTAAGCATTTCAAGTGACAAAATTAAGTTTATTTTCATTAATTTAATTAAATAAATAATTATTATTAATAATTAATTAATATGCTACCAAAGTAATTATAATTACATAGATGTAAATGTAGCTATTTAATAATTAATTAATAAAAATGACATTTAAATTTAATTAATTTAATAAAATCTGATAATTAATAAATAATTAGCAAGACTAAATGTAAACATAATTATTTATTTAAGGAAATAAAGATTTACCTTCATTCATAAAATTAAATTATTTATTAAATATGAAAATAAAGTAATAATAAAAATAAAATTTTATTATAAATTTTAGTCCTAAAATACCCTTTCAAATTAATGGTTGATGTTATCTTCAACTATGAAATACAGCTTAGGGATTAATTTGGATGAATTTTCAATAGTTTATGACTAAAATGGAGCAATTTAAAACTTCGGAGCTGAATTAGTCGTTTGCTAAAAGTAGGGGTACTTTTTTGGATTTTTGCTCCAATTTCCTACATAGGTTTAAATCACCAAAGTCCTATGCATGTACTTGTACATACAAAGATTTAGGTGTGAAATATGTAACTACATAAGAATTGTGTGCTTCCTTATTTTTAATGGTTATTCAACTTTAAATGAAATTTTGACAAGTAAATGAAAGAATAAAATCAAATAACGAAAGATATGGAAGTAAATACGAAGTAATGAAATGTAAGAGATGTTATTCACATGCCATGCCTTCCATTATCTGTTATACTACATCCTACTACCCAATATGCAAAATCATGCCTGCATATTTCATCATGCTATATTTTTAGACTACTTGACTATCACACCATGCCAAAATAAAATTGAATGAATAGAGTTCACCTATGCTTATAAACTCATACATGTTCTTTATCATGCCTTAAAGAACATCTAATCAGCATGCAACTGTAATGTCATATGAAAATCGTGTTTCTAATTTGAGCTAAAAATTCCTTATATTTTTAGCCTACTTGAATGAAAATGAATGGACAGAATACACCTATGCTTAAAAAGTAATACACATTCTTTTTAACAGAGGGAAAATTTAATAAAATTGTTTAGAACATATTATGTTTCTTTGTGATTCTAGAGTAGATTTTTTTTGTGGGCATAAACCACTATAATTGTTAAAAAATTTTATATACTGCTCAAGATGAATGCATAATTGGAAAGAGTCAAAGTTTGGCCAACCATAAAAGGTCGTTTCCAAATTTAATTAAGGGCAAGTACATACATACCACCCAAGTCTTTCATATAACACCAAGAATACCACCGTTTTAACTTTAAAAAAAGGGAAATACATCTTTTCATGCATACATAAGGTGGCATTTATGTAAAAATTGAAGTTTAGGAATTAAGTGGTATGTAAATCTTCCATTTTATCTAAAAAGTTCAGTAGCATGATTATAAATAATTCTAAACGCAGTTTGCCAGCCCCAACTTAAGAGCATTTATCAGTACACTCTTAGTACACCAGTCGCCAGTTACACTGACATTTGAAATGATTCAATATTCAATCCTTTTGAAACCAAAATGGTTGTTACAACAGCCCAAAAAACCTTTAAAAACTAATGTAAAACATCACCATTGCACCAAGCAGTTTCTTCATGCCAATAACTAAGCTACGCATGATTAACAATTAATAAAGGAAATTTTTTCATTCATACCACTCAATTTCTATGTATTTACACGTCTAACACCTAAACTTCAATTTTTACCTACATTTCCACCTTACCCATGCATGAAAAGATGTATTTCACTTTTTCAAAGCTAAAATGTTGGTATTTTTATGTGATATTAAAGATTTGGGGGGTATAAATGTAAAAAAGAAATGTTTAGGTGTTAGATATCTAAATACCTAGAAATTGGGTGATATGTATGTAAATACCCCTAAATAAAGTAAGATGGCCTAATGGAAGCAATCACCTGCCCCAAGTGTGACGAGAGAGGACGTTGTAGATCATCAATTTCTCTTTGAAGCCATTTATCTCGAGCAGCTTTACTAGCAAACTGGGTAGCGCGCCCTTGTTTTTGGTATAATATACTAAGCTGCTTCTCACACTCCATTATGCTGAAGCAAAAAAAAAAATTTACGTACATAACACACAATTCTTATGTATTTACATGTCATATCTCACACCTAAACTTTTATTTCAACATACATTGGACTTTTGTGCTTTAAACCAATGCATGAAAAATGTATATTTATCTTTTAAAAAGTGACAATAGTACCACCCAAAAATAGGAGAAGATCTGCCACCAAAAAAATCTGAAGCGAAAGCAACCAAGATTATTAGGAAGTTACCCTTTTATGAAGCCCTCCTCCTCTGCAACTTTCTCATTGTGTAAGGGCCTGATTGCATTAAGTTCGTTTCTAGAATCCTGAATTTCTTTCCTCAGGCCCTTTAGTTGTCTTGCAGCATCGTCCTGCCGACAAATGGCAACTACGTAAAAATAAAAAACTGAAATATTGGAACCTATTAGATGATTGACTGCCACTCTAAGAAAAACCTTTGCTCGAATGTCCCCAGAAATTCTCTCTTCAATGTCCTTCAAATCAAGTTCAAGTTGAGTACGAATCTTTAATGCCTCGGTGCGCCTTTTATCTATCACCTCTTTCTCTTTGTTCAGACCTTGAATAGTCTTTGAAAAAGTTTTGAAGTCCTTCTCTAACTCCTTCAACCTATCATGGTTCTTTAGAATCTTATTGTGCATTGTAGTTGACTTTTCCGAAACGGTATTTCGTGCCTCTTCTATCTGCAAAGGAAAGAATACATTGATTCCCATGAATATGAAATCCTCATAGAATATAGGGGTGTTTATATACATACCACCCAATTCAGATTCATTTACCTATCAAACATTTAAAGTTTGCCTTTTCACAATTATACCACCCAAATATTTCGTATCACATCAAAAATAACACCATTTTAACTATGAAAAAGTTAAATAGACAATTTCAGGCAGAGGTCAGGTTGTATGTACGTAAAAATTAAAGTTTGGGTGTTAGATATGTAAATACATAAGAATTGAGTGATATGAATGTAATTATGTGCATTCAATGAAACCTAAAACTAGGACTTTAAAACCATCACCATCCAACAACAAACACTATTCTTTCATATGAAGAAACCAAAACAAATTCAAGAAAAACAAAAAATTCAAGAAAAACCCAAAACAAATTCAAGAAAAACAAAGAGAAATTTACATACATACCACACAATTCTTATGTATTTACATATCTAACACCTAAAGTTTGATGTTAAAGATTTGAGTAGTACGCATGTAAATATGAATGTCTAGGTGTTAGATATGTAAATACATATGAATTGTGTGGTATGTATGTAAATGAATCGAAAAATAAACACCCCCAACACACACGCATACATATGAATTGTGAGTGTGTGTGTTAAAGATTTGAGTGTTATGCATGTAAATATGAATGTTTAGGTGTTAGATATGTAAATACATACCAATTGCGTGTATGTATGTAAATGAATTGAAAAATAAACACCACCCCCAACACACATCCCTTTCAAAGAACGCCATCCAGCAACCAAAAACGATCCTTTCTTATGATGAAGTGAAAGCAAATTATTAATCAAACCAAGTAAGAAAGTCTGCTTGATCAGCCCATAAAAGCAGCAGCAGTTACTTTCTTTTTCCTGATTTTCTAACCACGAGCTATTAGCTATGTGAAGCTGAAACAATGATGAGGTGTACAATGCATACAATTCTTATGTATTTGTAAATCTCACAACTTTCATATTTTCCCACGAATTTTTAATATCACATCAAAAATAGCGCTATTACCCTTTTATAAAAGTGAAATACACTTTTTTTCATGCATAGGTTTAAAGCACCAAAGTGCTATGTATGTAAATATGAAAGATTAGGTGTGAGAAATGTAAATACATGAGAATTGTGGGCTAGGTATGTAAATTCCCTTGAATTTTTGGACACCTGATTTGGAGTTTCTTCTGTATTCAGCATTCCTGCTCTAGCGGGTCAGCCACCACCATCAGCAGCACAGCCAGCGCCCAACCCAACCAGCACGATAAAGGCAAAGAAATTTAAGATATCACCAGAAATACCCATCAACTAAAGTGAGCTGATTTGGTGGCTACTAAAATATGTGCAAACTGGCACAAAATCATATAAAAATTATGGAAGATTCACACGCATACCCACTCAATTCTTATGCATTTACATATCTAACACCTAAACTTCAATTTTTACATAAATACCACATCACCTATGCATAGAAAGGTGTGTTTCACTTTTTAAAAGTTACAATGATGGTAGTATTTATGTGATAGGTAAGATTTAGGTGTTATAAAGATAAAAAGTAAACTTTAGATGTTACATACGTAAATTTATAAGAATTGGGTGGCATGTATGTAAATAACCCAAAAAAAGTATGGGGGCATTTACCTGAATACCACCCAATTCTTACATGCTTACATATCTAAAGCTTAAACTTTGATTTTTTTTTTACATTTATTGCACCCAAATCTTTCATATCACATCAAAAATATCACTATTTTGACGTATAAAAAAGTAGCAAATATGTAAAAATTGAAGTATAGGTGTTAGATATGTAAAAGGTAAGAATTGAATGGTATGCATGTAAATCTTCCTAAATTAATTCTATAGAGGAAACTCAGAAAAGTTTAAAAAGCACCCTTAAATTATAAAATAGACAACTTTAATGTAATTCGACAACACCTGCCAAATTACATCAGCCAAAAATTTACCCTTTATCACAATTTTCAAATAAATTCGATGTTATTTTTCATTTCGGCATAACTGACCTCCCTCAATTTCTGAGCAGCCTCATCCATCTCTTTCTCCAAAATTATGTATTCAAGGGATCTGATCTTCTTATCAAGCTGCTGATACTTCTTCAGTTCTTCTTTCTCTTCATCTAATTCTCTCAACCTTTCCTCCAAATAATGAACAACCTGATCAATCTGCTTTCTTTTATTTCCTAAACAAGAAAAAAGGATTATAATAAGCCATAGAGAAATCTTTCATGCCAAGCCACTCTATGAACATAAAAACAGAACTTGCCAGTTTCTTGCATAATTTTCAAACTCTCGCGCCGTCTCTCCTCATATACGCGTGTTCCTCCAATCTCCTTCAGTAAATCTAAACGCTCGGAATCTTTCATTAACGTAAGAGACGCGATCTGTAGAAACTCATCAAATGTCATCTCTGTCATTTGGCATACTAGCACCAAACAAATATTAAATCAACAAACTGTGAAACTTATACCTTCCCTTGTTGAACAACATAATATGGGTTAGATCGAGAAAAACCAGCGCTTTCCAGCAAATTCATCACTTCAGTTTTCCTGTAGAAGTTCCCAGCCAGAATGATTATTTTTAGGAATATTTACATACATACCACTCAATTTCTATGTACTTACATATCTGAAACCTAATCGTCAATTTTTACACAAATGTCATCTTTACATACGCATGAAAATATGTATTCCACTTTTCAAAAGTTAAAATGGCGGTTCTTTTATGTGATGTAAAAGATTTGGTGGTATAAATGTGAAGAGCAAAATTTAAGTGTTAGATATATACATACATATGAATTGTGTGGTATGTATGTAAATGCCCGTTAATTTTATTATAATAATAATAAAATTGCACAACATGCCGCTTGAAAGGAACGAAGAATGGGATTTACGTGACATGTTTCCCATCCAAGAAATATTCATCCTTCTTGACACCAATAGATCTACGCAACCGAACCTCCTCTTTGTCAACCTAAAAGACAAGAAACCCACGAAATTAGCATAGCCAATTAATATAAAAGCATGAAACATAAAAATATAATATATTGAGAGTTTTTTATCCATAAATTATAGTAGAAAAACTCTGAATGTCCCAATTGGGCCAGTAGATAATAGTTGTGAAGCTCGGATGTCAACAGCAAGAAATAATTATATGCTTGATACTATATTTCTTGTTTAATAAAATAAAATTAACTTATTAATTTAGTGTAAACTAATAATAATAACTCTCATTTAGAAAATAAAATAATAAATATAGCTACGAGGATGCAGGACAAGTGTCCCATGTCTTGATATTATATTCAATAAGCTGCAGTTATCAATGTTTCAAGCTTTTTTAAAATGTCCAAAAGAATCTTAATAAGATATTTAAGAAAAAAATGCAAATGTCGATCCCCATAACATTCACAAGTAAACTGATATTTAAACATCTATCCATAAAACCTTGTTTATCTTGATCATGAGTGCCATAAATCTAACATGGTCACTTGAGCGAAGTTTTTAAAGATGTCCAAAAGTATCAATATGGATGTCAAGCTAGATCAAGAGCCAAAATGCAGGCATAAAAAAAGGAAATTTACATACGTAGCACACAATTCTTATGTATTTACATATCTCATACCCAAACGTTCATATTTACATACATAACACTTTGGTGCATTAAATCTATGCATGAAAAAATACATTTCACTTTTTAAAAGTGGTAATAGTGCTATTTTTCATGTTATATTAAATATTTGAGTGCTATGTGTGAAATATGAAAGTTTAGGTGTGAGATATGTAAATACATTAAAATTGGGTGTTATTTATGTAAATGCTCCAATAAAAAATGACAAGTATCTAAAGATAGCTGCCATATAGTTTCACCTTCGCATATGTCATCCTGTAAAAAAAAGGCACCAAGAGATCATCCCCATCTGAGAACATAAACCATACATATGCTTGGACACATCACAAAAGTGGCATGCATTAGAAAAGTGGAAGATATACATACATACCATTCAACTCCTATGCACTTACATATCTAAAACCTAAACGTCAATTTTTACATACATACCATACCACCTTACCAATGCATGAAAAGGTGTATTCACTTTTAAAAG